CGAGACAGAGACGAACTAGTTTTGTGTTAGTGAAATAGCTTATGATGATTTTTAAGGCTTAAAAACACAATATTTTGGAATTCACCAAACCTTGTTCTATCAGTTTCTGATACTTTAGTTTGGGCTTATTTGATTTTAAAACATTGTTTTTAGTTGTTTGAGGCCTTTATCACAACCTTAAAATGGATACATACAAAACTGTGTAATAAATTAGGACCACTTTTTGTATGGATGACCGCATTATTCTGTGGTATTTTATGAAATTCATTATGTTAAAAATCTTAATATTTTTCCCAAGGAATTTAAGATTTTCGTCTCGTATAAACATATTTTGCTGAATTTAAAACCAAAATCCTATTATTTTTCTAATATAAATTGATTTATTATTTATTTATTTTTTCGGACATGCGTATTTACGAGGTTCACAAGGTTTTGAAACATTTATAGTATACACTGATCGAATGCTTTGTGCATCTTCGATTTAAATATAACTGCATTTCTACCCAAAGATGCCCAAGCTAGTTTCATTCTTCTGTTGATTTCTGGAAGTAAGGAGCCCGAGTTATGTATTAATTGTCCAAGGTATACATACTCATCTACTGTCGTTAAGTGGAGTGTTGTTTGACATCCATTAGCTCGTTGTACATGGTTTTTGTTTTTGTAAAGTTCATTTTTAGGCCAACTTCATTGCTAGCAGAATTTAGGTTAGGTCGCTTATAAGTCCTTGTATTTCTGCAGGATTATTAGCAATCAGAACGATGTCGTCTGAAAATTTAGATACTTGAGGTATTCTCCATCAATGGATATTCGTTTGTTCTGCCAGTTCATTTTGCTGAATATATTTTCTAGAGTTGGTGATATTGCAACTTCTAATGTGCAGCATCTAATGCGTTTATTAATCTGTTGTTGATGATCTTTGTGAATATCTTGTATATGATTGGTAGTAGACTTAGAGGTCTGTAGTTTTTAATATCCTCTTTTCTACCTTTTTTATGAATGAAAATTATGTTTGATGTATTCTAGTGGTCTAGTATGCATCTCTATCTTAGGCAGTTCGTAAATATTCCTGCTAAGATTTTCCAGGTTTTATTGCCAGCGTATTTAAGCAGTTCCACTGATATACCATCTATTCCAGCTGCTTTACCGTTTTTTATTTTTGTAATTGTCGATTCTACTTCTTCCAGCAGGACATCTGGTACATCTTCTTGGTTACTGATTACTTCTTTAAGTGTGACAGGGCTTTGTATAGTTTGCTGTAGAATTTAGTCACCAGTTGTATTATTTCATTTCTGTCTGTAATTCTGGTGTTTTCGTGTATTAGAGCATAGATTTGCTTCTTCCTAATGATAATGCTTTTCTTGTTTCCTTATAGTTTTTCCTGTTTTCGATTGCATTTTCTACCAGTATTTCATTGTATTTTCTTATGTCTTCCTTAATACTTTGTCTTATTGTCTTACAAAGTTCTGTGCGTTGTATTCTCTGTATCTTGCTACTTACTTTCATTTCTCTTCTTTGTGTTAGCATTATTTTATATGGTTGGTTAGAACCAGTCAAAACACTGATAAAAATAGATAAAGAAAATAAATCTAGGGAAATTTTGCCAGTGCGCAACCACTGACGTGAACACTCAAAATGGCCGACTTTTTTGGGTAAGATCGAGATGTTGGACACAATAGACCGCAAGGTTCACTTGTGGCACTTATAGCGTCAAAAACGTAAATCTCTCGCTGTCCCTAGGTACAAGTTTCCCAAGCTACACGGATCTCCTCTAAATATTTTATAAATATTTTTATTGGGAATTAACCATAATTTGAGTTTAAAATAGATTTATTCTGTAGTTTCGTTTTTCACTTCGGAAATCGAATTTCCTACATATATTACGTTGAATAACCGGAATCTGAAATATTAATCTATATCAAGATACTAGTAACGAAAAAGATGAAACGATAACTTACTGAAGGCACATTGAAAAACAGTCATGTCTACATAAAATGAAGAAGAAGAAGAAGAATGAAGCTACTATAGTTACATTATAAGTTTATTTGGAGGTATTCAAGGTTTGGTCAAATAAAAAAATACTAGAGAGTGTTAGTAAACAGTGGCGGCTCGTGACATCTGCTATAGGGTGTGCTGCATGAACCACGGTCAATATAAAATAATAGAAATAGAATAACATACGAAAACAAAAACAATAAAATTAGCTTTAATACTAATTAATAGTAACTAATAACGACATGCTATAAAAATCTGATTAACTTACATTTATTGCATTTTTCTAAATTGGAAATTAATACGCCGGTCCTTTTTTGTCGCAAACTTTTCGATTACTTTATCGTTAAAGTTCGGTATTGAAGCGATGAACTTTTTTTCTATCGAGAGTGTGGAAAGGGCTGTTAATCTGTCTTCGCACATTGAATTTCTTAAAAATGTTTTGATCCGTTTTAAAGTTGAAAAACTACGTTCAGCTTCTGCTGTGGTCATTGGCGTAGTCACCAGAATTTGTATCAACTTTTTGGTTTCTGTTAATGTGTCCTCTAAATTATTAGAAATTATAAATTTTAGTAAAGGCACTGCACCTTTTAGATTCAATTGATGGGCGTAACAGTGCACAAAATGAGCAGTTTCATATTTTCTCTTAATTATTGTTTGCACTCCGCCATGTATCCCACTCATAACAGCTGCTCCGTCATAACTTTGTGCAATGAGCTTATTTTTGTTATTCTTTAATATTGGGTCTAAAACATTCAAAATTGTGTTAGCTAAGGTTTCAGCATCATGTTTTTCTGGAAGCAAAAAAGTCCAAAACCTTTCAACTGGAGCACCGTTTTTTACATAACGAAAAACAATGACCATTTGAAATTTCATAGAAACATCCGTTGTCTCATCAGCTATCACTGCTAAAAATGGGGCTTCATTGATTTCGTTTAAAATCTCCTCAGCGTATACTTCTAGCATGCAATCCAAAATATCATTTTGTATTGTTTTTGAGGTACCTTTGAAAATTGTCGCATTTGTAAGGTGTTCACTAAGTGTTTTATCAAGTTCAGCAGAAAAATTCACTAAACCACGAAAAATTCCAGGGTTATCTGATGTTTCAGATTCATCGTGTCCTCGTAAGGCGAGCTCAAAAGCCCCACAGAATTTTATACAGTCAATTATTTATTATTTATTAATTATTAATAAAAACCAGAGAATTACGAACACACATTAAATTTATTGTCTCCGAAGGCTCAGGTCAAAAAATCAACACAGATGTTGGCCTACTGGTGTGAAAGCGCTCGCAGACAACAATACGAATATAGTATTTTTAGGAAATAAAAATATATAGAGGGTTTTATACACGAGAATATTTGATTTAAACGAAACAAAGAAATTCCTAAAATGCTCAAACTAAAAATTGTTGGAGACATAATTAGATCGAAAATTGGGAAAATCTTAAAATTATAACAGAACAAGACTTCAAAATAAAAACATGATTGCAAATAAACAAACTTACATTAACATAACTTCAAATATTTGCTGTCTTTTTCACCAAACAAACTTACATTAAATTATGAAAAAACTAAATGCTCATCTACTTTTTGCTATATACAAAAGTTGTCTGTCAATGTTTAATTCGTTACATATAAATAACAAAGATCAAATATATGGATCGGAGTACACAACATATTTAGGGAATAAATATTTAAATGGGAATTACAAATAAAAAATATTAAAACTTTATTTATTGTATATCTCAATATTTAGTGACAATTTTGTGACTTAATCAGGAGAAAACTGTAAATTTATTAAGATGAGATATTGACAAAAGTTAAATACTTCATTATTTACAATACACTTCGAATATACTAATACTCTTATAGTTGTAAGTAATGAAGTATTATTTATAAATACAAATATATTTCATGTGCAATATTTCATATTTATTGAAAGTCAACATAAATGCTAAATTTTATTTAAGAATTTATATTGTGTAATATGCCCACTGACTATTAAAAAATAAGGTGCTTTCCTGTCATTTTCACTCGTTGGCGGCTTGCCCACGCAAGATGAAAGGAGTGTCGCTTCTCTGCGTTCGTAGTTCTCTGGCACAGATGCAACGGTCACGAATAACTGTCGTGAATTGCAGCTCGCAAACACATTTCCGAGGCCGTTAATCAGCCGATTGCCGAAGCACATCGGCTAAGATCGCCGTTTGCCTAATAAATGCATTTAACCGCTGCCAGTGTTTCGGTTGTTATCGACGCGGCTTCACTGGAGCAGCAAATACGTAAAAAGATTGCTTCACTGGAGCACCAAATACGTAAAAAAATTATACGGTTTCACTAGAGGAGTAAATACGTAAAAAAAATAATATTAATCATCGTTGTTGGTGAATTATTATTAACAGTTTATGTTTAATATGATAATATGGCAGATTTGAAATAAAACTATATTAATTATTCTTTAATAATTAAGATTTGCTATGGTTGTTTGGTAGTTCTGCAGCTCAGCAGCACATAAAGAAAAGCCGCCACTGTTAGTAAATGAACAGAACTAATCACCACTATAATACAAACAAGAAAACTGGAATACTTAGACCACGTGATGAGGGGAGCAAAATATGAAATTTTGAGACCCTTAATGCAGAGACTAATTAAAGGAAGATCTGTTGGTCGAAGGCAGAATTTTTTATTGAAGAATCTACGTGATTGGTACCAATGCTGATCGATTGATTAATTTAGAGCAGCAAGTTCAAAAATTAAAATAGTCATTATGATTGCCAACCTCCGTAGGGAGATGATAATCTAAGAACAAGGTTTGGTGATCACGACGTCGTCCACTACATTCCACAATATAGCGTAATTTGCCCTTGACTGAATCTTGTGACCAGCACACAACAGTTAACAACCCAATATTTGTTGCACTCTTATTTTCTATAATTAAAGTCTATGACATAATTTTTTACCGATTTTTTTTTTGTTTCAGGAGATAAAAAAGATGGTTCAGTGGATGCCAACATGAGCAAAGATTATTTCAAAAAAAGACTTATCAATCAGCGCGAAGCCATATACGCACAAGCTCAAAGCCAATTTAACAACGCTGACACAGAAGACGATGCTTCCCACAGTTCTTGTACCACTTCGGCCTCTACCAGCCAGACGGAGGAGCAGAATGATTGCTCCGAAAAAACCGAAGTCGAGAAAAAAGCGAGTAATATTGATTCGTCTGGCCACGAAATTGTGCAGAACATTCAAGATAAAGGTAAGACTATCATTTTGAACGATTAAACTTTGTATTTTTTATACGACAATTTACGACAGAAGTTAACATTATTTTATAAAAATATGTTACGGGCAGGCCGCCTTAAAAAACAAAATTGTAAGAAGCCCACATATTTTATTTAATATAATATAATTTTACAACTTATTTAGAATGTTCTATATTAAACGAATAAATTTATATTACATACCTACATGTAAATACAGGACATGGTGTTAATATATTATCTACTAATAGATTATATAAAGTCGGTTCGCTATTCCCAGTCCGAACTGCCTATAGACGAGTCAAGTTAGTAGAAAATAAGCGATTTTTCCTCACAAGTGTATAGACGGGTTTGACAGTTGAAATGGATAGTATGAGATATTACAAAAAGACTCTCATCTAGGGATTCATGAATTTTTTAGTGGAACTATTTTTAAATAAACAATTAAGACGTCAATATCATTATTTTGCTCATAACTTATATAAACTTGTCTATTTAGAGATTTGACGTCCACAGACGAGTTGTTGAGAAAGAAAAAATACACAAAATGAGATATACTAAATTAAAATCGGTTAATAAACAAAAAAGTTATTGCATAATAACCAAGCAAAACGGCTGTTTTTGATTATTGTATAACTCTTTTAGTAATCAATAAAATTTATTTAAATGTATCTGAACTTAAAGATCTCATCGTGTTCGAAGTGTGTGCGAAAGATAGGCTAGATCCGTCAAATAGTTTTTGCACAATTTAATTTGTTTATAAGATTTTTTGAAAAATGCACCAATTTCTAAGGCCGGTCCAGATAATTTGACTGAATGGATCTTAATAATCCGCGGCTTATTTTCTTCGTTGAGACATATATTAATATCCTGTGGAAAAAAAATTAAAAAAAAAATACGTTTATGTACACAAAATGATTTATTAATAAATAGCACTTTTTAAGTTTATAAACATTTACAATAACTCCGTACTATTTAGTTTAAATTAAATGACAATAAAATATTCGGAAGGCGGGTTTAAAAAACAACAACTTTAAAAAAAAGGTCCTGCGACCATTAGAAGCCGAGTTAGTCCTTTTTTTTTAAATCACTGTTACGTCAATTAACAACATTAAGGGATGAAATTAACCAATCTTTTAGAAGAAAAGTCAAAGTTATTCACAAAATGTTTAGCAAAAAAAATAATTGAAAATTGTTTAAACAGGAGTGTTGTAAACGAAGAGTACTTTGCGTTCCGACTAGACTGGAAGGAGTGGGGATTGCCGATTGCACACAAGCCGCGCTCTCCAAAAAAGTCGAGCGCACGGTTTCAAAATAGAGTGCTTGGAAAAAAATGACATATCTCGGGTTCTAGTGGACCAAATTTGTTCTTTTTTTTTAAACTGGGGTACAACGTTAAAATAATAACATTTAACGTACTTTCATTGCAAAATTATTCAAAACAAAGCAGCTAATGACTACGGAATGTACAAACTTTTTCTTAAGTCGTCTTTTTATTGTTATTTTTCTATTTATTTATTTCAAATATGATTATATTAAATAAATGTTATAAGTAAATGAACATTTTGAATAATGTTTACTAAAAATTTATTAATGAAATAATAAATTAATTTTATGTTATTACAGAAGTTGAAATTTTGTGTAGTGATTTTTTAAAATAATTTAATTTACTGTAATTTTCTACGCTTAATTTCTATATCGTCACTGCTACTACTATGTAAACATTCATCTTCACTTTCATCTTCAATTTCACTTGTATTATAACTTTCATAAATCATTTCATTTTCATTGTCGCTATTCTCATCAAACCCAGTTAAATACATTTCATCAATTATCTCTTGTTCATCTGTTGTATCGTTTTCTTCTTCATTAATAATTTCATAAATATTAGTACATTATAATAGTAAAATAATATTATATTCAAAGTTAACCGTATATTATTCAGACAGCGTGGTACAACCATGTGTTTATATTAATATATATCACAACACGTAGTTTTTTTTAATATTTAGATGAATTTTACTTACCATTAATGATTTGTAAAAATTATTAAATAAAACAAAACACTAAATATTTCAATACAACAAACCGGTTGTATAGTCGCAGGAAAATGAGTTGTAAAAGTTGTGTTTTTTAACCAGCTTTCCGAATATTTTATTGCCATTTAATTTAAACTAAATAGTACGGAGTTATTGTAAATGTTTATAAGCTTAAAAAGTGCTATTTATTGTTAAATCATCTTGTGTACATAAACGTAATTTTTTTTAACTTTTTTTCCACAGGATATTAATATATGTCTCATCGAAGAAAATAAGCCCCGGATTATTAAGATCCATTCAGTCAAATTATCTGGACCGGCCTTAGAAATTTGTGCATTTTTCAAAAAATCTTATAAACAAATTAAATTGTGCAAAAACTATTCGACGGATCTAGCCTATCTTTCGCACACACTTCGAACACGATAAGGTCTTTAAGTTCAGATACATTTAAATAAATTTTATTGATTAATAAAAGAGTAATTAACAATAATCAAAAACAGTGGTTTTGCTTGGTTATTATGCAATAACTTTTTTGTTTATTAACCGATTTTAATTTAGTATATCTCATTTTGTGTATTTTTTGTTTCTCAACAACTTGTCTGTGGACGTCAAATCTCTAAATAGACAAGTTTATAAGTTATGAGCAAAATAATGATATTGACGTTTTAATTGTTTATTTAAAAATATTTCCACTAAAAAATTCATGAATCCCTAGATGAGAGTCTTTTTGTAATATCTCATACTGCTTATTTCAACTGTCAAACCCGTCTATACACTTGTGATGAGTAAAAACCTAACTTGATTGGCCTACTAATGAATTTAGTAATTATTTTTTTGCCAAGTTAGTTAGTTTTTGACAGACTAGAAGTGGCTGGAAATTGCTACACAACCAAGCAACGTACTCATAGCCAATATTTATAGTAAACAAACCTAAATAAAACGAATTACCGAATATCAATATTTATTTATTTGCACCATATAATGTATTGATAACATATAATAAACTTATTTAGTGTACAAAATAATAATATTTTGAGGAAATAAATTCCACAAAATTAAGCAGTCACATCAATCAGAAAAGATCTTAGGTCATACTTAATTGTTGTTGACTAATTTACTAGAATGGAATCAACATAAACTTTGGTTTATGTTGATTCTTACAAAATATATGTAAGTTTACATCACTATGCAATGAGAATTTAGCAAAACAAATACATGATACTGTAACAAACAAAGCAAATATTAATTTCCAACAATTAGTTTCCAACAATATGTATATCATTTTTTTATATCAACAATATCTTTATTTTCCCGTTATTTATATAAAATTTATGAATAATTTACGGAGATATTTGCAAAAAAGCAGTTTTTTGCACTAATTTATAAATTTTATTAATTTTTTCTATTAACAAAAGAATGTTACGTCTGGTCGCAATTATTGTACGGAGTAGAAACATCGACACTAAAAGCGCAAATAGTTAAAAATATTGAAGCCTTTGAACTTTGGATATACCGGAGAATGTTGAGAATCCCATGGACTGCCAGGGTCACCAATGAGGAAGTGCTGAGAAGAATGGGTCGAGTCAAAAAATTGTTGAGAACGATAAAAGTACGCAAGACTGCATAGCTTGGACACATACTAAGAAATAATAAATATAGTCTTCTGCAGGTCATCATGCAGGGTAGAGTCGATGGCAAAAAGGGAATAGGTAGAAAGAGGAAGTCATGGCTGCGAAATATTCGAGACTGGACAAACATGACTGTAGACGAATTATTCCACGTTGCAAAAGACAGAGAAGCTTTTAAAAATGTGGTCGCCAACCTCCGTTAATGGGGACGGCATAGGAAGAAGAAGATTAACAAAATAAAATATTATTAATATATTTGAACATCGAGGAATTACCGTCTTTTAAATTTGTGCAAAATTTCCCCTTGATCGGTCAAATAGTTTAAAAGTTATTTAATTATTATTATATTTATATTTATCCCTGAGGTTAAATATTCGAACTATTGAACTTGCCCTATTAATGATGCTAGACACATTTATCAAATTTCATAGGATTCTTAGGATTCTCAGAAGTTAAATGCATATTGCGTTTTCATCGAAATTATTTACAAACTAAACTTTTGAAAAAGGGGTGTTTTTTACTTATAAACAATTGAAATAACTTCTATATTTTTCAAGCTACAGACTTGTACGTACAACCATTGGATAGCTGGTAAAAAACATTTAAAAAAAAACCTATGGCCAATAGGAACGAAGTTAAGGACTATTTTGACGAAATTTTAGAGCGTAACAGCTGCTACTCATCCCGCCTTTTTACACATACTAAGATATATTACCGGTTTTCAATTATATAGATGACCTTTCTCCTATTCACATGAATACATAAAAAATGTAGGGACACGAGGACGGTATACTCCGTGATCTTTGGAGATATTTATATCTAAAAACATAAATAAATGTGTTTACCGTCCTTGTAATGTACATATACCTTATACACATAATATAAACATATAGATTGTCAAAGTAATAAATAATTATAATTAATATAAGGAATATGATAATATAATGTGTAAAAAATTACCGGAAATTTAATTTATAAAATATATAAGTATTATTACATCATTGATATAAAATGAAAAAAACATATTGATTTTCCGGAATTTTCCGAGATTTCCGGGAGGGGCTGAGCTGAAAATTATGTCATTATTAATACTGGGACAGACTATTTCAGCCAAATTACAAAAAAGTAAGTTTTTACGGTGACTTTCAAATGGTCTCAATTTTTTCGAGGTTTCCCATATTTCCCGCCCAATGAAAACTATGTATTTATTCATATTTCGACGAGCTACCCCAGATTAAAAAAAGAGGCTTCTAGCTGCAATGGAAGCCGAGATAATATACATTTTTCCTATGTGTTTCAATTTGAGTTATCCCCTCCACTTTTCATGTC